TGGGGGGGCGAGGGAGGAGAGAGTCAGTGGAGAGGCAGGCTGGTCCCGGCGTTTCCGGGATGGCGCCTGGGCGCGCTGCTGAGTCAGGCCGGGGTTTCACTTTTGGGTCTGGGCACCTCCGGCGGCGCGCACTCACTCACTTCCTCGGCGGATCTCTCCCCCTCCCCTCCTGCTTCCTCTGCAGCGCCTGGGCAGAACAGGCGCCTCCACCAGCCTCAGGGCAGCGTCAGATTCACTTTGCTGGTGGGTACAGCCCTCGGGCAATCAGGGTAGAGCCCCCTAGCACCAGGTGGGCTCTGAGCTAGCACTGGGTGGGGCATGTCGGCCTTTCTGGGCAAGGACTGTCCCAGCGGCAGTCCTCTTCCCCCCCCCCCAAGCAGAGGCCAAGCTGCTCAGGAAGGGCTGGCCTAGGTTAGAGCTAGGAGCAGGGCTGGGGCAGGGATAGGAGCAGGGCTGGGGCAGGGGCAGGGCTAGGCGTAGCAGGCTTTGAAGGCTTCCCTTGAAGTCATCCTTCCAGGTTGCCAGGCCCTGGTGCTAGCCCTTTGACCCCTGTGCCTTCTTGGCCCAGCCTCCATTCCATGTCACTCAGGGCCTCGAGCTTTCCTGGGCTGAGGCTGGGTCCTCCATGACTGTCCAGCTCTGGAGCTTTGGCTGGGAGCCAGGCCTGGCCCCCCAGCCCTCATTTTCTCAGGGGCAGCCCTAAGCCTTACGAGGAGTGCGGAGGTCTGCCCCTGACCCAATGACAGTCCCAGAGCCTGTTTTCAGGGCCATGGATGGAGGTGCAATGCCTGGGTCTTCCTGAGGGCCACGAATGACACCCCTGCCTGGCAGAGAGGTGGGGAGCAGGTGACAGGTGCACGCTCTGTGCTGCTGTGGTCCAGGCAGGAGCGTCTCACCTGACCAGGGTGGCCTAGGAGGCAGGGTTCTCCATTGCTGGGGGTACCCAGGAGCCAGCCCTTCTCCCCTCCCGCAGCCCCAGGGCACAAAGCCCGTCCCCCGCAGAGATGCCATCGGCCTTTGAGAGGGTGGTCCGGAGTGTGGTCCGGGAGCTGGACTGTGGTGGGGCGCTCATCCCTGTGGAGAGCCTGCGGAGCTCCACCGGCTTCCAGCCCTACTGCCTGGTGAGCAGGAAGCCCTCCAGCTCCTGGTTCTGGAGACCCCGGTACACGTGTGTCAACCTGTCCATCAAGGACATCCTGGTGCCCGACGCCCCGGAACCAGGTACCAAGTGCTGCAGCAGCTCTGTGAGGCCGGGGTGAGGACGGGGAGAGGCCAGGCCCAGCCTGCCGTCTGCTGGCTCCACCAGCCCTGGGCCTCTGGGTCCTCGGCTTCCAGACGGTGGGTCTTTCTGCTGTCCCAGTGCCTGAGGTGGAACACGGCTGTGGAACGGGGCCTCAGGCCTGGTCTCGCTCCAGATCCCGTGCATGACAGCTCCTTCCACTTCTACGACGCCGTGGACGGGCAGCTGCAGGGCAGTGTGGCGCTGGCAGCCCCAGGACAGGGGAGGCTTGCGGGCAAGGCCATGGTGTCGGGCAGCACCAGTGTCTCCATGAATGTGTGCTTGCTGCGTGTGGGCTCGAATACTTGGGAGGCCCTGCACCAAGAGAGGTGAGACCCAAGGGGTCGGGAAGGCCCTGCATGAGGAGAGGTGAGCCCTAGGGATGGGTGGGGGGCCCGAGGGGGACCTTGCACCAGGAGAGGGGAGCCCTGGGGGTGTGTGTGCAGGAGGGAGGCCCTACACCAGGAGAGGGGAGCTCTGGGGGGTGCAGGAGGGAGGCCTTGCACCAGGAGATGGGAGCCCTGGGAAGGTGCAGGAGGAAGGCCTTGCACCAGGAGAGGGGAGCTCTGGTGGGTGCAGGAGGGAGACCCTGCACCAGGAGAGGGGAGCTCTGGGGGGGGGGCAGAGGGAGGCCTTGCACCAGGAGAGGGCAGCTCTGGGGGTGTGCAGGAAGGAGGCTTTGCACCAGGAGAGGGGAGCTCTGGGGGGTGCAGGAGGGAGGCCTTGCACCAGGAGAGGGGAGCCCTGGGGGGGTGCAGGAGGGAGGCCCTGCACCAGGAGAGGGGAGCCCTGGTGGGGGTGCAGGAGGGAGGCCCTGCACCAGGAGAGGGGAGCCCGGTTTAGGGGGTGCTGCCTCCTCAAGCTGCCCCTCTCCTGGGAAGGCTGTGGGTATGTGGTCTGGAAAGGGGGCTGAAAAGGTCACGGTTGGGTTGCTAGGGTTGCCTCCTGGTTAGCTCAGCATGCCCTGGAGGCTTTGGGGGTCAGGCCCTGCCCAGGCTGCTATGAGGGAGTGGAGCAGTCATCGACACAGGTAATCTGACCCTCACTTGGGACCCAAGGAGGGTGAGGAGCCACCTCGCCTGGTGAGCAAAGGCAGGGACCCACTCCTAGGCCTTGCCCCTCCCCCACAGCCACTCCTTGGATACTCCTGGGATTCCCCAGGAAGGCCACCGGGCTTGAGCAACCACAGATTCCTGGGTGCCCTGGTGGCAGCAGGCCAGCAGGGGCACGGCACAGCTTGAGTCTGCCCTGCCCTCCCATGCCACAGGCGTCTGAGGCAGCCCGAGCCTAAGATCCTGCAGCAGCTGCGCAGCCGCGGAGATGACGTGTACGTGGTGACAGAGGTGCTGCAGACACAGAGGGAGGTGGAAGTCACCCGGAGCCAGAAGCGGGAGGGCTCGGGCCGGTTTGCACTGCCCGGGGCCATGTGCTTGCAGGTGTGTGTGGCCAGCCCAGCCACGCCTGGCCCACAAGAGATATGTGGCATGAAGGGCCGGGCGGCACCCCAGCAGCAGGGTGGGCTCTGCTGAGACCCCCGGGGAGCAGCCCCACATTTGGCCAGTGAGTAGAACTTGCCTACAGCCTGTGTGGCCACTGCCCGTGGGAGGCCTGTCCCCAACACTCAGATCACACTCCCGTGCCCAGGGACTAGGCCTGAGCCCATGTCCATCCCTCAGGGCGAGGGCCAGGGCCACCTGAGCCAAAAGAAGACGGTCACCATCCCGTCGGGCAGCATCCTTGCCTTCCGGCTGGCCCAACTGGTTATTGGCTCTGACTGGGGTGAGCAGGGGCGGGGTGTCCTCAGGGCCAGATACTGGGCAGAGAAGCGGAGGCCTGCAGAGCTGCCAGTGGCCGGGCTGTGGGTACCAGCCCAGGCCCTTGCTCTGGCTTATGGGTGGCGGGAGGCCTGAGCTGGGTGGGAACAGGTGTCTTGTGAGGGAGGTGGGAAGCTGCGCTGAGCCTCCTGCCTGGCCACCAGAGGTCCTCCTCGTGCCGGATAAGAAGCAAAGGACTTTCGGGCCGCCTCCTACAGGTAAGACGCCCAGCCCAGCTGTCCAAGGGTTCTCCTTGGACATCGAGTCCTCGTATGCTCAGAGCAGGGGTGGCCAGGCAGACTTCTAAGGCAGTGCACACCCCTGGGTACCCCTGCGAGGGGTAACCCGGTGACAGCCTGCTGCTGGGTCTCCTCGGCCTCCATTTGCCCTGGGCTGCTGGCTAGGGGTGGTGCCAGGGGCTATGTGTCCCAGAGAAGGCCTCAGCCCTCTTGAGCTCAGGAGCGCCCCCTGCAGTGGCCAGCACTGCCCTCCCTCTCCTGGCCTTGTGCCCTCACCCAGGCCTCAAGCCTCCCAGTGGCGCAGGTGGCCAGCTGCAGCAGGACTCGGGCCGCTCTGTGATCAGGTCCCTCCGTGACCACTTCAAGTTTCTGACAGGTCAGTGTCCTCCTGACTGCACCAGGACCCTCTGTGGTCTGCCCTCCTCACCAGGGCCACGGTGCCCAGACCTTCAGGTCCTCTGTCTCTACAGATGGGGCCTCTGAGGAGTGGGACGACACCCAAGACTTCCAGGGCCTGCAGGCAGAGGTGGAAGCCGGGGCCCAGGCACTGCAGCAGATGGAGCTGGAGCTGAGCAGGCAGCTACGGGAGGGCCTGGCTGCTGTGCTGCGGAGCCCACCAGCCCTGCAAGCCTTGGAGGAGTCGGTTAGCTGGGGTGTGGGGTGGGGTGGGCAAGGGGCACAGGGCAGAGTGGGCAGGCCTGCCCCTGCAGCCAGGCTCCCTGACCTGTACCTTGCGCCCAGCTGGAGCAGGGCCTGTGCTACGGGCGGGCAGAGCCCCTGGATGGCCCGGCAGGCGCTGTCCTCGAGTGCCTAGTGCTCCCCTCCAGAGAGCTGGTGCAGGAACTTGCAGTCCCGATCTGCTACCTCGTGGGTGCACTGGCCGGTGAGCACCCTGAGCAGGGGGCTGGTCTGGGCAAAGGAGGAGTGTGGTTCCACTTCCTGCCTCCAGAGCCTGTGCTGACCCGAGCTGTCTCCACAGTGCTGAATGACACCCAGCGTGCATTGCTGGCCATGGCGTTGGAGACCGGGGCCCTGCCAGGGCAGCTGGACCTGGTGAGAGCCATGGGATGTGGGGACGGCCTGAGCCTGCCGAGAGGGCTATGGGTGCAGCCAGGGAAGGGTGGTGTGGCAGGCACAGAGGCCTAGAGGCTCAGGACTGAGGCTCTCAAGACCCTTGTCTGACCAGGTCCCCTGTCCTGGCAGGTGACAAGTGTACTCCAGCAGGGTAGCCCCTGGCAGCAGTGCAGAGCCATATCCCTGCCTCCTGAGCTCCTGGGCCACAACTGGGGCCAGGAGGTGCTTGCCTGGATCTTGTTGGAGGAATGTGGCCTGGAGCTGCAGGTGGGCGCTCCCCACGTGTGCTGGGAGCCGCCGGCCCAGGACCCCACCTGCGCGCTCTACGCCTCCCTGGTCCTGCTGTCAGGACTGGGCCAGGAGCCCAGCTAACCTGCACATCTGCAGCCCGGCAGCCCTCCAATCAGGCTGAGCTTGTGCCCAGCAGCTACTAGCCCTAGGAAGGCCAAGAGCCCCTCAGCCCTGTGGGCAGTTCAGCACAGGCCCGGAAGCTCGAAAACCCAATAAATGGAGTTTATGAGGAAAAAACTAGCTGCTGAGCTTTTGAGGAGTCCTGGTTCTGGGGTAGGGTGCATAGGGGTGGGGCCTGCCCACACAGGATTGGGGGCACATGAATGCCCAGAGCAGACGTCTCCCCGCCAGTCTCACTCCTTCCACCCCACGGCACTAGGGCACACCCTCCCGCCTGCTTGCCTGTGGGAGGTGAGCACTGACGTAGTAAGGCTGGCTTCACACGGTGCACCTGCATCTGAGGGTGGTGGGCCTGGCTCAGCCCCAGTGACGGGCAAAGGGTGTGAGGTGGCTGCTGGGCAGGCACCTTGCATGCCTGGGTTGCTAGGAGGCTCCCAGGGAAGCAGGGACCCAAGGGATAACTGGCCTTAGGTCGCCTAGTGAATCTACCCAGCAGTGACAGTGCCTGGAGGGGGCAGTGCACACAGATGCACCTGAGAGGCCAGCCTGGGGGCAGCACTGTACTTGCCTGGAGGGCTCAGCAGCAGGTGGGGCCATGTCCGCTGCAGCCAGAGGGACTGTCATCCCTGTGCATGGGGGCCGCCAGCCTTCACCTGGTGGGGTGGCCACCATACCTTTCATCATGGGGCTTGCCAAAGGGGACAGGGAATCAGCCCAGCACAGCTGGGACCAAGCCCAGCAGGGAAGTTACCACTGGACAGACGCCAGTGTGACGCCAAGGTGCAAGCCACAGAGGTCCCTGCAAAACCAGCCCTCCATGCAGGAAGACAGAGGCTCAGAGGCCCTCAGGCCATGGGCCTTCTCTGAAAGCTCTCAGGGAACTGGACAGGTAACACCAGCAATGGGAGGAGAAGGGCCCTGGGCCCAAAGAATCTCACCTGTGGCTCATAAGCACCCGGCCCTGGGGCCAGCCATGGCACAGACCCTGCCAGCCCCCCCTCAAGCCCCACTCAGAGGCCAGCTATTGGACCTTGGGTCCAGGACCACTGCAGGATCTCTAGCAACAGCCTATCTGAGAGGCTGACCCTCAGGAGGGTCGGGAAGCAGGGAACGTGTGGTTCTGCTGTGTCAGCCCCCATGCTGGCCCGTCGGGAGACTTGCCACAGCCAGGTGGGCTGAGGCTGGGGCTGGCTGCTGTGCCCCGAGCTCCCTGGGACCCAGCAGAGGGCCCCATGAGAAGTCACTCCCAGAGGCCATGTGGACTTCAAAACACGCCTCATTCCCTGGCAGGGCAGGGCAGGGCAGGGCAGGGCAGGGGCGGCCCTGAGCCAGAGACACCAGCCACCATGAAGGGGCGACCCTCAGGCTCACCATAGCTGCCCCGGCCTCCCCAGGTGGGCTCTGCGTGCTGGCATGTGGCTGGCACTCTGGTGCTCCTGGGAGGAGGCAGGGACGCACACTCACCCTGGGGACCTGGGGGGCCTGTCCTAACCCTGGGTGGTGAAGTGGGATGGAGACGAGAAAGACACAGGGAGGCCTCTCCTTCCAGA